TTTAAGAGCAGGTTGGACAAACACCTGTCAGGGATGGTCTAGATAATACTTAGTCCTGCCACAAGTGCAGGGGACTGGACTAGATGACCTCTCGAGGTCCCTTCAAGTTCTATGGTTCTATGATCTGTACCACATTGGAGCACTGGTCCACCCCACCTGCTGTCCCATCTCTAGCTGTGGCCAATCTCTGATGCTTCAGAGGCAGGTGAACACCCCCCCCCCCAATACATCTGGCCAATAGTGTATCGGGGGGGGGGGGGAGAAATCATCCTTGATCCCTACAGGTGACCATCTGAAGCCCTAAATACTGAGATTTTATTATAATCATTGTCTTGATGCAGAGGTGCAAGTGTTAGTAGTGTTTTCAGGATTGCCTGCTTTGTCCTCTTCTTCCCAGCGCCCATAAAGAAAGGGGATGAAAGGGCTGTTCATAGATTCCAAGGCTGGAAAGGATCACCATGACCATCCAGCCTGACACTGGATTAAAGCACATATCTAATGTCACCTTAAATATGGGAGGTAGGGTGACCAGACAGCAAGTGTGAAAAATGGGGACAAGGCGTGGGGGGTAATAGGAGCCTATATAAGAAAAAGACCCAAAAATCGGGACTGTCCCTATAAAATTGAGACATCTGGTCACCCTAATGGGAGGCAGAGAAGGCTAGTGTGGACAGAAGGTCCCTGGTTCCCTTAGAATTGGCAGTCAGTTTTCAACTCGAACTCAAATCTGTTTTTAAAGTAGCTGTCCAGAGGGAAGAAAGTCAAGAACTTAAACTAATCTTGCACTTCTTACTGATATGCTCACCTAGAAATAATTGCCTTCGTTACAGGCATGTGCTGAAAGGTAGCCTGCGGTGGTGCTGCCTCAGACTTCCTACCCACAGGCTGTGTGTCTCATCAGTACCTAGTGCAGAGAGGGGAGTGGAAAGAAAACCCAAGCGACAACCATAAGTAAAGCACTTGCAATCACAGCTGGAACTGAATAGTCAGCGCACAGTTCATTTACTCAAACTGAACAGTGAAAATTAGAGCTACATTAATTTTAATGAGCTATACCCCTCCAAATGCCTTGGATGGCTTTGAATATCTCAGTCAAAATGGATTATTCTTTGTAATACAAAAGCACCCAGAAGCCCCAATCAGAATTAGAGCCCTATTGTGCTTGGTGCTGAACATACGTTACAGGGCTGGTGACTTTCTGATTTAGAATGGTTTAATGTTAGTAGAGTATAAACTTTCTGATTTAGAACAGTGATGAAACTTCATGTTTTCCATTGAAGTTTTCTTTACCAAGGCAGTTGGAAGCAGGGTTGAAACTGGGTAGTTGGAGACCTTGTTCAATTTAAGCACAAAAGGTTCCAATAATAATTCTACCAAGTGCATTTAAAACCCAGCTAAGTATCCAGGGATGGCCCACTCCTAGAGTATAATTAGCAGGACTTTCCCACCCTCCGAATGGCTCTGAGTGCCACAGGATTTGTAAAATGACAGATTTGCAAATGAGAACTATGTAAGTCACTTGGCTGAAAAGGTCAAGTAGGTTTCCCAGTTTCTATGGTTTTGATGGGCCAATGACTTTTCTGAGGCAGAGCAGTTTAAAAACTATCCCTTGGGGAGTTTAGAAATTGGTAATGGTCACTAAGTCACCAGTTTGAAGACAGCCCCAGTTAGGAGACATTGACAGTTATTTCCTTTTTATAGCACTGTCTTAGACTAGGTCTACACTACAGCGGGGGGTCGACCTAAGATACGCAACTTCAGCTACGTGAATAGCGTAGCTGAAGTTGCGTATTTTAGGTCGACTTACCTGGCTGTGAGAACGGCGGCAAGTTGACCGCTGCCGCGCCGCCATCGACTCCGCTGCCGCCTCTTGCCGTGGTGGATTTCCGGAGTCGACGGCAGAGCGATCAGGGATCGATTTTATCGCGTCTTCACTAGACGCGATAAGTCGATCCCCAATAGATCGATTGCTACCCGCCGATCCAGCGGGTAGTGAAAACGTGCGCTAAGGCTGTGTGAAATAATCTGTTCTCTGTTTATTTCTTGTGGACAGGTGTTTTTCTCACAAGCATGCACAGCAGCTCGCTTTCCTCTTTGTCGGTCTTTGCAAAGATGCTCTAGCCTGACTTCGCATGGATAGCTCAGTATTATTTGGCTTTTATATTGTGCTTAGCACGACCTATTAGTCAGTTACATTTGCAGAGTGTCAAATGCAACACTGATTGAGTTTGATTGGAAGAAAAATATATCCCTGTCTCACAACTAGAACTGTTCAACACTTTTATGAAGAAACTCCAAACCAGGCAAAACCCACCTGGTTTTCAGTTTGCAGTTAAACCCTAAGCTTAGTCCTGGCTCAACAGGAGTTTCACCAAAGTTTACAAAACCTTTTCATGAACCTGAGCCAAGTTATTTGGTGGGACAGGGGAAATCAGCACAAAGCTAATATCCTTGAGGTTCACTTAGGTTAAAATCTGGCTACAGAGGGGTTGTCAAGGCAGAATTCTTCCTCCAGGCCTGGACTCCTTTGGCAGGAAGTCTTCATGATGATACTTACCACACACAGTCACTTCAGGAAACTGAATTGGCTCCTGGGGATGGTAGGTGGATTATGTGCCTACATCCAGTTGGATCATAAGTTCCATTCTTTTATAAACTAATGGAAAGTGAACCCACATTGTTGGGCACTTTACTAAACTCTGAAGTTTTGGTCAGAGATTTCTGCAAACCGCCTACTTATATTTGGGTTTTCCCTTCAACCGTTCCCCAAGTTATGGCTTGAATAAGCCACAAAAGTCCAAAAGAGAACTCCAGAGAAACCATCAGCTATTGCCTAAGATTTGGGACAAATTATTTGAATCTATAGAGTATTATACTGTTGCCACCCATAGCCCGAAAGACACCCTACTCTTGCTCAAACATTGGACTACATTGACTTACAGGGTCTGTGAGTTTGGATGTATTTGCTGGGGTTTCAAATGTGTTAGGAAACTCAAATAATGCAAGTTGCACCTGGCTTTATTAAGAGCTTCATACCATCATACCATACACATCCCGTTCCATATTCCGGTCCTAGAAGGTCTCTCTTTCCTGAAAAAAGAACAGGAGTACTTGTGGCACCTTAGAGATTAACAAATTTATTTGAGCATAAGCTTTCGTGGGCTACAGTCCACTTCACGAAAGCTTATGCTCAAATAAATTTGTTAGTCTCTAAGGTGCCACAAGTACTCCTGTTCTTTTTGCGGATACAGACTAACAGGGCTGCTACTCTGAAACCTCTCTTTCCTGAGCTGATGTAGAGACACACTGTGTACAGTCCAAACTTGCCCTCCCTTCCTGAGGTTTGGCTCGAACAAAGAAATCAACAAGATAACAAAACTCGGCTCAAATCCCTCCACAGGCTTGGCTGCTCCCTCAGGTCCGAGATCCTTTCTCCCATTCCCACTCCCTTACATCTAGGGGAAGTCGCAAGTCACTCAGTGAAACACTATAACCCACTTGATCCTGCTGGGAAAAGGTTAACACCTACTAACAGGGTGGGTATTACAGGCAAACACTGCTAGTCTGAGTTCATTCATCAAAAATTCATTCTCAAAGGGTCATTATTTGTTTGGATTCCTGTTTGAGTCAGCAAATCAGGGAGTTGAAACAATACCATGTGACCAACGATACACTAAAAATGCTGGATGCCTTGTAGTAAATAATTCATAAGATGAACATGATTAGTCAAAACTGTCAAATATTTACAAATAATCAATAGGATTGGTTCACGAATGACTAATCAAAGAAAGGGAATAACTTCATAATAAATAGTCTCACTGAATAATTTAATTATAATAAAGTTTCACAAGCAATGCTGTAATGCACAAAGTCTAAAGCGAGAGAAATAATCTATCCACTTGCTGTTCTGCTGTGTGTAGTTACTGTTTGCAGAGACTAATGTGAATCTTCCCTTCCTCTCATTTACATAGG